CTCTACGATCCTTCATCCCCTCGTTCGTCATGCTGTGTCAACAATGGACCGGGACAAACGCCATCAACTACTTCAGCCCGCAAATATTCGCGGGATTGGGTATCACGGGTGTCAGTTCTGGACTTTTCGCTACCGGCGTCTATGGCGTCGTCAAAGTGGTGGCCGTCACGACTATTGTCATCTTCGCGGTAGAGAGAATGGGAAGGAAGATGTGTCTTCTCATCGGCGGGTTGGGGCAAGGATTCATGATGCTCTGGATTGGAGGATATAGTGCAGTCCACCCCCAGACAACGATCGTCGCCGCAAGTTACGTCTCGATCGTCGCCGTCTATCTCTACGCTGTCTTCTACTGCATCGGGTTCGGACCCATCCCGTGGATTGTCGCTGGAGAAGTAGCACCGAACCACGTGCGGACGGCGGCCATGTCACTTGCCATTGGTGTGAACTGGCTGTTCTCGTTTACGATTTCCCGCGTGACGCCCAACATGCTCGAGGAGATCACGTATGGGACGTTTTTGCTGTTTGGGCTGTGCTGTATGCTCATGTCGGCATTGGTCTACTTTTGTTTACCGGAGACCAAGGGGTATGCGTTGGAGGATATTCGGTTCTTGTTCGAGAAGGATATGATGGTGAGAGCGCTGGAAGATGCACCCGGTGGTCGCATCTTCTTGGGTGGACGGAGATCAACACCTGTGGCGGAAATGAAGAAAGCTGTTACCGATGATACGGCAGTATTGCGATCTTCGGACGAAAAGATCACCGAAGAGAGAAGGGTCGAGGCTGTATGACTGGCATAACCAAATCGCCAGGTAGAGTACGTACTACTAATACCGGGCGGTGATGGCAGTGTGGGAGGATGACTCAGATCTGCCTGAAACATACCACCATCTCCAACAATATGTCCTATCTACGGAATTGGTTTTCATTCGACACCGCAGCACCACCGTCTGCATCGACCCTTAGGACTATTCCAGGTTCATTCACAGAAGAGGACGATGACGACGGGTCGAGCACAGCAGGCGAAGACGACGTTCCACCCGCGTTCCCAGCACTGAACAGTGCCCAGCGTGCAACCCCGTCATCCTCCACCCCAAGTACCTCTCACGACATCCCTATTATACTGAGCGACGATGCGTTGATGCCCCCACCGCCTATCCCTGACTTGGCCAGTCGACAGCCTGGCGTCCCACGTCAGATCGCATCGTCGTCCTTACTTGCGCCGATGGCCACTACGGAGCGGCCTAAGAAGCCCTCCAGGAAGGTGGTGCTCGCACCTGGGTATGGTCCGTTGGACTGGGCGAGCCTGAAATCATCTGGACAAGACCTCAGAGTATGTCCTCCGTGTTTGGCCTCGGGCCCCGTTCCTGACGAGAATAAACCAGGGTGTGGAGACGCTACTGCGCATTCCGCCGTCCGTACTCAAGATGCACAACAAAAAGGAAGACGCTTGGACGGCCATCCACGGCAAGGTGTACAACATCTCGCCGTATCTCCCATATCACCCAGGTGGTGAGAAAGAACTCATGCGCGTGGCAGGGAGGGATGGCACAAAGTTGTTCTGTGAGATTCGCATTCGATGGTTGTCTTGCCCGGTGGAACTGATCCAGTTGTAGCACTGACGCACGCGTGGGTGAACGTGGATTTTATGCTAGATGCATGTCTTGTTGGATTTCTCGTCTCGGAATCATACGCATCATAGAGCTGGACGTCACCCCGAACTAAACCCCGGTCGTTCTCACCGACATCACACGAGGTCATAGAACATACTTTTAGATCTACGTCCATACCTGCTGACTCGCATTAGACTTTAAATAAATTAGACTTGTACTTTTACTTTTTCCGGGCCGACACTTCCGCATCGCATGGAATCATGGACACTCTGCATCATGGTTTTCAACAAGACGACAGAAACAAGGGGCGCATTCCCTGACACGATGCAGGAAGTCTCTCACTCCGATGTCACATGTTGTGCACTTAAGAGTAACTATCTATTGGTCTCGGTCATGTCTCGAGCCTAGAGATATTACCGGAAGCGCCTGTGGAGACAGATGATTATGACAAGAAGCACGCCATCGCGTCAGCTTTGCGTTCAAAGTGTGTGCTTCAAGCCACTGGACCTAGAATGGCGAAAATAAGAATAACTCTGGCTCACATGTCCACTCAGCAAGGTGGTTACGCCATTTCCCCCTTCGCTGTCGCAAGCTTTAGCTAACGATTCCCAGCGTATAAAACGTTGCGATTAGATAGGGAGGTCCAAACGTCCCTTGGTCCCATTTCCAACGAGGTCTGTCATGGCTCCTGTAGCAACGAACGAGAACGGCAACGTCGACCGCGTCGGGCAACTCAAGAAACAAGCCAACGAGATACTCTTCAACCCCTTTTATTCACCCACTGCTGAATCTGCCGCTGACGACACCTACGAGTACGCTGCTTACAAGGTGAGTCAGATTGTGTCCGGTCTCTGACAATAAAGACGAAGATGTCATGCAGCCACACTTCCCAGCCGTCAGTTGGGAACCGCTCGAGAAAGTCGACGTCACCGACCGTGGTCACTCTGCTGATCCAGAGAAGAAAGCCCTGTTCAGTGCTGCGAAGAAGGTTCAACACCTTACACCTGCCATCGGAACTGAACTCACTGGGATCGATCTGAGGCAACTTACCCCTGCCCAGAAAGATGAGCTGTCCGTCCGACCCGCAATGTTCCCTGAGATACTGGACTGACATTATCTCGATAGGGCTCTCCTGGTTGCTGAGCGAGGCGTCGTCTGTTCGTGGGATGTTTTTGCTTATCTTCGGCTTCGCTGAACCTTGCGACAGTCTTCAGAGACCAAGAATTGAACATCCATGAGCAGCTTGATCTTGCGAGGCATTTCGGACCTCTCCACAAACACGCGACAACCCCAGTTCCCAAGGAACTTGGACTTGAGGAAGTTCACGGTCAGTCACGAACATCGGTGCGATGCACACCAGCGTTGACACCCACAATAGTCGTGTACAATGATGCCGCACGGCGTCCGGACTCGACAGCCTTTTCGAAATTTGAACTCTGGCACAGCGATGTAACGTACGAAATCCAACCCCCGAGCACGACCTCTCTCAAAGTCATCACCGGCCCGGAATATGGAGGTGACACGCTGTGGAGTTCGGGGTAGGTCAATGATCAACGAACAGGGCGAACGATGGATACTGACGTATGCCCACGAACACAGCTATGCCCTTTACTCGTCCCTCAGCCCTGGGCTGCAAACCTACTTGGAGGGCCTTACCGCCCTCCACAGTGCCGTGGCTCAGGCTGAGGGTTCCCGCGCTGCCGGACTCCACGTTCGTCGCGAACCGATCGAGACGATCCACCCTGTCGTCCGCGTTCACCCCGTGACCGGCTGGAAGAGCATCTACGTCAATCCAGGCTTCACCCGTCGCATCGTCGGCGTCCCCAAGGCTGAGTCGGATACCATCCTGAACTTTTTGTTCCAGCAAATCAGTAGCAACGTGGACTTCCAGGTGCGCTTCCATTGGGAGCCCAACTCGATCGCGTTCTGGGACAACAGAGTAAGTACTTGACACCGCTATGGCGGCTGTGATCTCACGGGATGTAGATCGTGACGCATTCTGCGACGTTTGACTTCTGGCCCCACAGGCGTCATGCCCTGAGGGCAACTCCTCACGGGGAGCGACCCGAATCTGTGGTAGACTATGAAGCACGAACCGGTAAGGTCTCCAAGGACCGTCAGATTGAGATTTGGAAACAACAAGGGATCGAACCCCCGGAAGTGAAAAAAGGCGCATCGAGGGCACGCGGCTACAACGACTGAATAGAATTCGGTTTATTATCTTGTACCGATACACGCTCCCAATAGGAACTCATCATTGATCTAAGGTATCCAAGTGTAAGAGGGGTGGAAGCGACGTTCAAGGGCAAAACTAACTTCCTACAGTGCCGCCCGAACCCCGCATAGCCTGATCAAACTCTAGGCAACACAACGCCAGTCGCAACAACGCTTCCCCGTCCCGAAGGACGGCCGTCTCCAAATCCTTGCTCAGACTACCCTCTGAAATCTTTGATTTCAAGAGTTCAGCAAAGACGTGCAATGTGCGTGCGTGTTCGCCGAGGGGATTGGCGATGCCGTTCACGGACGGAGGTACATGGCCGCGCAGCGCATTGTCGAACGTGACGGTCGCTTTGGCCAAGGAGAGGAAATGACTGCCGTCACGTTCGATGGCGCGCAACAGTGCATCGCCATCTACGTAGTTCTGACTCTCCAACCACGTTGCGAATCGCATGCATACAGAGATGGGTTTCTACAAGGTGCCGACCCGCATTTCAGGCCAGTCAAGGGAAGAAAGAAAGAGAACGCGCGTCGTACTCACGTCGAGGACGTGGATTGGTGGTGGTCGCCAAGGAATCATGGTTGTCGAGGAAGGGTCAGTCCCACTGACAGACGGACCACTGGCAGGGAGCGATTCAGGGCCATCGAGACTACTGCTCGTCGTGCTCGACGAGACGCTCGTGATTGGAGGCGGCGAAGCTGGATGGCTGGATCCTAGCAATCCGATGGTCGATGATCAAAGGGCGATGTGCATACCTGGGGAGGGCGCGGCGGCAACGCTCGGGAGTTTTAAAATGGACTTGAGCGGTGTGGGCTTGGGACGTAAATGACTCGTTCCTGGGTACAAACATGTCAGATGACGTGACGCAGTGTGCTTTTTGACGTGGACGTACTGGCGGCTATGATCGGACGACGCTTAGGCTGAGGTATTATTGGCTTGGGTGGAGGATTCAGCGCATATGCTGCCCATGCAGCCATGCATTGCTAATTGGTCGATGTCCAGAGCGCGAAACGCGAATTCACACTCACATAGCAACATATGTTTCCCGGTTGTTTTACGCGCCGTTTGTTTTTTCTGAGACATAATGCCAGAGAACGAACCAGGAGGAATTTCTTTTTTGGTCGTTGGAAAGCGTATCAGTACGAGGTTGAAGTTGAACGCGGTCGAATAAGGAACCCGTGGCGCAGTGGTAGCGCGTATGATTCCAGCTCAAAACGAGTGTGAATCCATAAGGTCATCCGTTCAATCCGGGTCGGGTTCAGATTTTTTATGCACCCACCCTCTGCTTCAACGCACTAATCCTCGCATCTTATTTATGCAAGAGTAACCGAGATATCACAGACCCAAATACTAAGTAATGTAAACGTAGGTGTATACGAATGCCGAAGATGTAGATTGCATGCTAGATGATAGTAGTAAAATCATTGGAGACGTGATGATACGTGGCTAAAATAGGTGTCCATAAAATGCAGTCCGTCTACTTTCGCGAAAAGAATGAGAATCGTTTCTTCGATGGCGTGCCTCCTGAGACGGGGCTGTTCCCAGACATGCTCTCCATACGAACGGACGACGAAGCAGGGCTGTATTCCCCAGAATCCTCTCTCTGTTTCCGTATGTAAAAGAGGAGTGAGTGGCGCGCCCGAGGACCTTTGGAGCTCTGTGAAGGCCGAGGGGTGGTGGGCGTACTCGAACGGGAAAACGATGACGTGTCTGGCGTCAGAGGCTGTAAAGAAGGGCGATGCATCTGGGGAGTGGAAGGTGATGATTGTGCGTTTAGCGAAAGATGCGACCACGTCGGTTCGACTGAGAATGGTGGCAGGGCGAATGACGTGTATGGACCCGTGTCGGACTCCTCGGACGGTCGAGGAGTGTCTGCTGGTTCCGGTGGGGGAGCAACCTCGATAGGTTTCATCTCCCTTGGCCTGATGAAGAGCTCCCGATTTGGGAGAGAGAATTCATCGTGGATAAGGTCAAATCCCCCGAGGAGATTCACTGCATATTCTGGCACGTGGACGGCATCCTTATCCAGGTCCGCGAGAATTTCAGAGCGTGAGCGTAAGGTAACGTGGCTGATTATGGTGGCTATGCCCCCGGTATCTTCACCCATGCCCTGCGATGATGAAGAGCCCTCCGAGGCGACGGATAACGGCGGCGTGGGAGGTCGGGTAGATATACGACCTTCGGAGCCGTCTGAGGGCGCTTCGGCAGTTAAGCGAGAACCGCGTGAGGATACTGAACGGTCCGAGACAGAAGGCGCTTTTGCGCTATTTTCTGTACCCTTCGTGAGCGGGGGTATACCGGGGGGATAATGATTACCAGGACGAGGTCTGCAAGGACGTTTCACTGGATTGAATGCCTCACTAGCCATAGACGGAGGACGTGCATGTTTCGTGGTGAGGCGTCGCAGAGGGGGGGTAACGGACGATGGCCGGAGACGGAGGGGGGAAACGTCGCTCATTGTCATTCGACGTGAGAATGGCTGGTCAAGAGCAAGCCTACACTTAAGATCAAGGTTGAATGATGTCCTCGTGGGAGAGTAATCAAAAAAGCGGGCAAGATTGGCACCCCGTTTTGCCTCGTTGTTGAGGGCAGGGGACGAGGCACGATTCTCGTCGTCGTGTTGCTGCGACCCGCGATCCGCCCTCAGTCGTGACAGATGCTGTGTCAATAACTCCACCTCCTTGTCTACCGCGAATTGCCGCTTTTCCTCCATCCAGCGTTCGTGCTGGAGTGCAACGTATGTGCCCGGTTCAGTATCTCTTTGCGTAAGAGATAGCTTGAGCTTCGCGGCACGTTCCCGAGACTCTTTGGCACGTGTGCTCAGGGCTACGGTAGCTTGTTGCAAGGCACGGATCTGGAGTTCGATGGGAGAACGTCCTTCTTCGCTGCTCTTGAATGCGCTGGCAAGGGCTTGTTCGGCGACGGAGTAGCGAGTGCTGCGAGAACTTGCCTCGCTGACTGATCCGCACGGCGATTCGACGCGCTTCGGGACATACGTAGTTGTAGGATTAAGCATGCCGAATGTGTGCGTGGTGTTGGGTGTGCTGAGCGAACGTTCAGCGAGAATCGGAATTTGATAGGAGAGAGACGTACAAGACGGGACGGGCAGATATATGTGACGGGAGGGTATCGTTGGCCATGTTCGTACGCTCCTAACCAGGAGCCAGACGTGAGAGGGGTGTTAGTACGCGCCAGAGTGACTGAATACGTACATTGAAGACCGTCCCCGGTGTCAGGCGCCGACCAGTATCGATTCGCAGGGGTGGAGGTTGGAGGTAGCCGTTGTTGTTAGGTTCGGGTGCATGAAGAAGTTCGTCTACTCGGTCGACAATCTTTCGACCGATCATGAGCAAAAAGATATATGTAGAGCAAGAATGGACAAGAAAAGAGAGAAGATAGTTGGGGCCAGAGAGTGGGGTGAAGCAGCCGTGCCGAGAGCACCTGGTTGGGAAACGTTGAGAACGCTCGCACGAGGCTCACACGGACGAAACTGCAACGCTCCCACACGCCAGCAGTCATCCCGTGAAATTATACGTAGTATATCATACGCGCCATGATTCATCTACACACATTACGATCTTCCAAGTACCAGTTCCTTCAAACCCTTGCCAAGCTGTTTCACCCTCCCCTTCATATTCAACCGACTCCGTGTCTCTCGAAAGTGATAGCCACCCGGCGCGTCTGGCGTGTCCTCCCGTCGCCACCGCGCAAGGTTCATCCGCAGCTCCATCTCCCCACTAAGCGAAAATCCAGAACCCGCAATGGGTGACGTGGCCTGTCCAGACAAGACCATTGACATGGGGCGCAATTCTCGCGCATACTCCATACTCGATCGGCCACCGCAATCGAGAGACTTCGTCCCTCGCGGTACGTAATCAACCTGCGATGGGATCGGCGAGGGGGTGCGAGGAGCGGCTATAGAGAAGACAGGGCTAGTGGGACGTGACATGTCCTTGCGAATCGCAGAATAATACGGCCGACTGGGGTGTCCCAACCGAACAGGGGGAGCATCATGATCATGACACGGCGTCAGCGAGAGTGCGTGTGACTGACGCGCTTCCACTGCGGACGTTGGGTATATATCCACACTCTCTCGTAAAGGAGAACGGGAGCGAGGTGAGAGGGAGGATCCGCGCGGGAGTAACGTCATATTTTTGGTTCTGCGCAGCCCGCGTTTAGGGGAACATTGTGATGAAGATATGGACGACGTCGAGTGCTTGTGCCCCCGATCCGACATATCCATCGACCCTGTACTACGTGGCGTACTCGAGGCCTCCATTAGCACGGACGTGACAGAGTCCATGGCTGGCATGGTCATGGCGCAACCTGTGGGGCACGAGGCGCGAAAGCGTGTGGCTAAAGGATGGACGCAAAGAGCTGGAAGTCTTCTTCGTTGTCGTCTCGAGTCTCTCTTCAGATCGTGATCTTCAGAATCGTGCTTGTGTGGTTCTACCTCGCGTTCCGGTGCAACGTTCGGAAAGGAACAAGTCGGGAGCGGTGGCTACACAACATGGGAATAACGCAGATTAGTACTTTTTGCCATTCTCGGACGCGGACATGGATGAGAAGCAGGATAGAAGTACCGTTATCGAGGTTGCTGTGGCGACGACTCGATGCACGCCACCGTTGACCGTCCGAGTCTCCTTCTGAGCGTTGTGAGAGTTCGTGGACACGAAAGAGAGAGCCTCGCGCCGATCCACACCCTCAGGGTCCAGCCGTCGGTTATCATGACCCTTTTCACAGTGAACTTGAAAGGCGTCCAACACTGTCGTAATACCCGGCACACCCTTGGTTTGGATCGAGGACAACGCTCGCTCGCACTTGGGGGTGTATGGGCCGCCACTTGAAACCGTAGAGTCTGCAGACATCTTCCGGGGAGAATGTCTGACCTTCTTCGGCGCGGAGGCTGCCCTAGCAGGTGGTGCACTCAGTCGGCGTGGCCTTGGCAGGTTTGCCTCGAATTGTTTCGTTGCCTCAGTTGATGTCCATTCGCACCATAAACAAAGGGGGATCCACGTGTTCGCAAAGCCACACTGGGCACATACAAACAGGGGGCGATTGGGGCAGAGGCGCAGTGCCGGGAGCGAATCGGACGATGGGAGGTGCTAGATGGAGCGCTCTGGTCAGATCGATCCACCCATCGGCCGATAAAGCACAGAGGATAGCGAAGGCTTACAGGCTTGTTTCTCTTCCATTGTCGTTGCAGATATCGTCGCGGGGTAACAGAGATGTCATGGCAGCTGGGCCAGTCAGCCATCATGATAGCTGGTAGCGATCTCGTTCAGGAGGACAAAGCCAGACGGGAGAAGGAAGGACAAATGGCTGCTGTCCAGTCAAAATAAAGGCGGAGTATCGGGGCACGAGGAAGGGGCTAGAATCGCGAGCCCTGCGGAAACCTGTCCGAAACGCGAACACGGTGACAGATGAATATCAAGCAGTCAGTGAAACGAACACAGACACATATCGAACACAAGGCACGGAACAGTCGCGTAGCATGCATAGTACGCATGCTCTTGTTAAGATAGTAAATTGTAGGCAAGAAAGAGCGTACGAAAGATTGTGCGTAAGTGGCACAACAGACACGTTGCAATCAGACCTTCGATCGAGAACATGTGGTCTCCACCCTGCTCGTCTGAGCCTCGGCGATTACAATATTGGTGACCACCGGTACCGCGGGGTTGCACGCTTGCCTTCGAGGAAAACATCCAGATTTGAACTGACCAGGCAAATTCATACGATAAAAGTGCAAGTTTCAGGGGATCGCTACAATATGCAGGTGATATAATTTATGCTCGGCCGTCCAACATCACAGCCTCAAAAAGGATATGCATGTCCAAGGGTCAGGACATGTAAACGTACGTCATGCTCACCATGCAATCATACAAACACTGCAACGGCACCTCTTTTCTCATCCATCCTCCATCGTCCGTCCATCAACAGGCTTAGATGGACGCGTCCGCACCCACTGACCGGGCAACTCCACTCGTGCTCAGCCTCCACGGCAGGAGCCTTCATCTTTCCTTTCCCCTTGCGATTACTTCGGTGATTTACAGCCGGGGCACCGCGGCGCCCACTTGAGGGGGTGGCAGGCACTGCGTGGGGAACCATCCCACGACGTGGGCGTAACCGCCACCGCATTGAACTGGCATTGGGTTCAACAACCGCGGTGTCTTGACTCAGCGACGACGGGTATTGATCCGGTTCTGTAGCCATTCTCCTGCTGCTTGATCCGGCCGTGTCGGGGGTTGGTCGTGCAGGTTC